GAAGGAATGCCTCGAACCTATTGTCATATTGTTATATGGTCTGATCTTGGGATGTTCCCCCTTACATGAACAGCCCTTAATAAGGAGTATAATTAATCTGTTCGTATAAGGGGGAACATCCCAAGGTTTGATCATCATACGATTCCATTGGGTCATTATTCAAATTTATATTCTTGCAACTGTTAGCGCCTGGATTCTGTGCGACGACAGAGGTCAAAGACGGTGACTACAACCACCACGCTGCTTCCTGGTTGCAAGAAGTACAGCGCCAACCTTCGCGAATCTGCCTGGCCCCGCACCCCGTCCTGAATCACACAATCATAAACCTAAACATCCCCAAGCCCTAAAACGCCCAAACCCCAGACCCTGAAACCCTGAACCTTTAACCCTTAACCCAAACCCTAAACCCTCAAGTCCTAAAGCTACTGTCCGCAATGCCCGCAAAGACTTGCTGAGGCTGACAACTTTGGCATCCGGTGAGGGCAGCAAAGCGGAGCTCTGAGCCTGTCAAGGGTTCGTAGGATTTTCAGGGTTTAGGGTTTAGGGTTTAGGGTTTAGGGTTTAGGGTTTAGGGCAGAGCAAAGCAAGCAAGTCCTACATCCAAAGCGGGGAAAGACCTGCCCTCAGACAGCTGGAGAAGCAAGAAACAGTGAAATCGCAGTCCGTTTGCTTGGCTTTCTGACATTGCCCAAGCTATTGATGCCTAGGCCCTCAACCCTAAACCCTAAACCGCAGTGTCTTGAGGCTGAGAATGAGAACCCTGGAAGTGTTTGGAACAAGTTCTGAATAGGCCCGGCATTGGATCTGAGCGCCTGCAGCTGACACGAATTGGATAAGCATGCAGCCGCTGCTCCCGAAACCCCACAGGGGCGAAGTGGCGAACCCGAAGCTTCCTCCCAGCACAGCTTCAGGATGCTGTACACCTCCGACATGTTTCCGACTAATTTTTCGTCGAAGGGTGGCGGCTGTGTCATGACAGCTGCAGCTAGTTCTTTGTTCACAGCACCTTATTGCAGTCTCCCGGTGTTTAGGGGTAAGGGTATGGGGTTTAGGGGTTTAGGGCTTTAGGGCTTGCTGATGGCCGGTCTGTTGCATCAGGCTCCGGGAGCTGTTCTTGATCATGTCCGTATATGTGTCTAAGCGGAGTTTCATGGGCCCTAAATATTGTCCCTTACGTTCTTTAAAGGGTTCTGAAGTAGGGACCATTGGGTTGTATAGGGTATACTAGGGGTATAAACGGGTTCCCCCTTTCAGGGCCCATATTCAGGGACCATATATTGGGATGTTCCCCCTTGTACTGACAGTCCTTTTTAGGGGTTCTAGTACCTCCTATTATAATTCCCTAGTAAGGACTGTTAGTATAAGGGGGAAGATCCCAAACCATATAACTACCCGAAGAAGCAATGATGTGGATCCGCCACTTTCAAGCCATGCTTGATGCTGACTGCCAAGAACCCCCAAACCCCACGATCCTACTATGCTGACCCCCCCACCCCCCCCCCCCAAAAAAAAAAAAAAATAAAATACAAATAAAAAACACATAAAACTAATAATAACAAAAGAAGAACTGCCAAAAAACATAGTTATAATCAACATCCTTGAGACCCTCAGCACCCTACACCCTAAGCCCTAAGCCCTAAGCCCTCAACCAAACAGACCTAAACCCTAGTAGCCCGGCAGCAACCCTAGACATGAACGCTGCGCGGGCATGATGAAAGCTCCGCCACCTCCCACTGGGTGGCCCAGCTGCAGTCTTCGGTGGTGCGGCACTGGTTGTGGCTCGGGGCTTTCTCGGGTATAAATGACGATGGTGAGTACGTTGGTGTATATACATATATATATATATATTATGTAAAACACATCTATATATATATATATGTATATACGTATCGTTAGTCTTTACGAACATACACATATATACCAATACATCAACCTCCTTGCCTCAGCATGTATTTCTCCAACATGCAGCAGCTCGAGAGCCCATCCATGGCAGATTGGGAGAGTACCTGTTCCCTGGTTTAGGGTTTAGGGTTTAGGGTCTCTGTTTGGAGCATAAGAACTACTCCTCGTTACATGACGTACAAAAGCATGGAACAACAAAAGAGTTGCCTAGGTACAGAGTCGTTCAGGGTGTTAGGGTGTTAGGGTTTAAGGGTTATGAGGTTTAGAGGTTTGTTTTTTCTAGTTTCTAGGGTCTATAGGGTTTATTGGGTTTAGGGTTCAGGGTTTAGAGTTTTTCTGATTCAGGGTTTACGGTTTGTAGGGTTTTGGGGCGCCTCGTGCTGGTGGTGCCAGGTCGTGGAGAGATGTGCAGCTCCCCCCGCTTGTGCATCCGGAAACTCTCCTAGCAGCAGCCAGGAAGTGCCAGCGGCTCAGCAGTTCTTTGGGTTTAGGGTTTAGGGTTTAGGGTTTAGGGTTTCGGGGTTCTTTGGGTCAAGGGGCTCATTTAAAGAAGGATCCTTACAAGGGACCTTAGGGTTGTTCAGGTCAGGTATACAGAGACTTGATAGAAGGTATACATATATATATATATATACAGATATATATGCAGGGGTTATTTTGGGTAATAAGATTAAGGGTCCCTTCTAGGGGTCCCTCCTTAGGCCCCTTAATTGGGTTGCCGGGCTTGTTTTGCAACGGCTATGTGTGAAATGGGTTTAAGGGTCTGAGCATTTAGCGTAAGGTTGCCTATAGACCTCTACTGTAACAATTTCACATTGTAAAAGCCCAGAGTTGGCTTATATATACATATATATATATGTATATAATTATATATATGTCAATGTATATGTATACGTATATGTACATGTATATGTATATGTATATGTATATATATATATATATACTCCCATCATTGGGGATCCTCTGGGCAAGGGATTCCTGTAGTAGGGGTACCCATGATGTATAAACCCTAAACCCCAAACCCCAAACCCTAAACCCTAAACCCTAAACCCCAAACCCTAAATCCTAAACCCCAAGCCCTAAACCCCAAACCCCACACCCTAAACGGTTAGGTACGCACTCTTTTCCAACGAAGCGTTCAGGCGCGGCCTTCGGCGGTGACAAGGAGCTCCTTGATGCAGCGGCGCTCGCAGGCGGATGGGTTGAGAGGGTTCAGGGTTTAGGGTTTAGGAGTTTAGGGTTTAGGAGTAAATTGGGGTTTAGGAGTTTAGGGTTTGGGAGTTCAGGGTTTAGGGTTTAGGGCTTTGGGTTTAGGGTTTTGGGTTTTGGGTTTAGGAGTTGAGGGTTTAGGAGTTTAGGGTTAATTAGGGTTTAGGGTTTAGCAGGGTTTCGACATGTTTCGATTGAACAGAGCGGTTCTTGCAGTCGGGCGTCAGAGCCTTGGTAGCCAGCCGCTGAGCCAGCTCCACAGTGTCTCCCGAAACAATGCCCAGCAAAATCACCAAACCTGCGTTGCCACAGCGCTCACAAAGTCTTGTTGAAGCAGCCTCTTGCAGCTATCTCTATCACCTTTGTGGTTACTCTCAACGTCTGGAAGCCATGACGACTTGCACAGTGGAGATGGGCGCTACGGCAAAGCACCACAGCAGGTCTGGGCCAATAGTGCCTGCATCACTGTTCTCCACGTTCACGGTGGGACGAGCAAGAGCGTTTCGCTCGATAACTAGCCTTCCTCAAGGGCTAGAAGGAGGGACGCCTAGAAGGGACCCGTAATCGCATTCCCCTATATTCTAATCCCTATAAACCTAAGTAGCCCCTAAACAACCCCTAAATCACCCCTAAAATCCCTTATAAGGGCTCCTCCTTGACTTCTCACTATGAGGCACCATTATAGCTTAGTTATTGCTGTGTGGGCCTTGATGTGGGTAGGGGGTACTTAGTAAGGAGGGGGATGAATCTGTTCGCCCCAGTTGGTGAACAAAAAATCACAAACAGCAAGGTGCAAATGTTGTTGAAGGATGTAGGGCCGTAGGGTGCAAAGCAAGGCCCGAGGCCCTCATCCCCAAGCCCTCAAGCCATCATCCCGATAGACATACCTAAACCCGTAACTTTCCAGAACCTGCAAACCCTCCATACTTCCGCTCTAGTGTTGTTATGCACAAAAAATGTTTTTAACGACTTTTCAGAATAGCTCTCAAAGCCTTCTAAGCCCTTTAAAACCTTTTCAAACCCCCCTACAAGCCCCTTATGAACCCCCTGAAAGCCCCTTTCAACCCCCTAAACCCTAAACCCTAAACCCTAAACCCTAAACCCTAAACCCTAAACCCTAAACCCTAAACCCTAAACCCTAAACCCTAAACCCTAAACCCCCTTAAAGCTGCACGGCCTGCAGAGGCCTCCTCATCCAAGCTGATGCCATCCGAGCTCATCAAGAGCTGGCAGCAGTGGAGCTTTCATGTGTTTTTTTTGGTGGGGATGTTATAGGGTGTGGTGTTTAGGGCCATCTTGGAGCTTTCATGTTTTCACGGATGGGATGTTATGTGTTTAGGGCCATCTTGTAGACAGATAGATAGATAGATAGATAGGTTAGATAGATGGAGAGAGAACATTTTTGATGGACCTGCATGTATACATGTCCATCTTTCAGGGTTTGCTTTCTGGGCCTACAGGGAGTCAGGGGCAACTTTGGGAGGAGCTGCGTGTGCGAAGCACGCAGGCGCAAGCGGCTGAAAGCTCCCTAACCTCTACAGCCTCTACAGCCTAAACTAGGCGGGCCTTCGGATATTTCATAAGCTCCCTTTATTGGGTTTAAGAGGATCATGTTTAGGAATATTCTTTCAGAGGGTCTTAAGGGCTATCCTTGGGGGCTCTATGTAAACCCTAAAGCCCTAAAGCCTGCACCCTAAACCTCAGCCCATCAGAGAAGCCATGGTGCCCCATCGGAGTTCTTGAGGGGTTTAGGGTTTAGGGCTTAGGGTTTAGGGTTTAGGGTTTAGGGTTTTGGGTTTAGGGTTTGACGTGAAAGGTAGAGCCGGAGATATGTGACCAACAGCGGGTGTGTAGGAAGCCCTCTCGTGCCAAGCGCCCGTAGAGACAAGATGCAGAGTCTACCGAGCCATGCTTTTCTCCTTTTCGCATACTTGATCTGGATATATCAGGGAGGTTTGCTGAAGGACGCTAAGGCCGTGGACATCTCAGGCACGACTGCGGTCGGAAGTCCGCAGCCCTGGCATTTCTCGGTGATGGATGAGGCGCCGGGGGAGGGGACCGTTGCTGGGGAGGTGGTGCTCTCCAGCGAAGGCTTCATCAGTCTTCAACAATACCAGGCGGCCGAAAGTAGGGATACCCAAGAACTTGAGGGGTACTGGCAACGCCGCGGACGCGGCAAAGCCACTATCCGTCAGCGCCTGAGACAATTTTTCCTGAAAGGGGCAACGTACTGGAAAGGGCAAAAAATAGCCACAGAGGCTGATCTGGCCCAACACTTTGACGCCCAAGTCGTTGCTGATGTGCGCCGACGCCTTGCATCGACACGTGCTTGGTGGACGCAGAACAACCAACCTCCTGCCCCACGACCTCAGCCCAAGCTTCGGTGCCGTGCACGTGTGCGCATGGTTAGTTACAACTGCAACTCGCTAGTGGGTGAAAGGCTGCGTATTGTTCTGAGCGCTTTCAGTGATTATGACATCATTGTCTTACAGGGCACTCGCATGCGGAAGAAGTCTGTTCCACACAACGGTTTTCAACATGATGACAATTGCACCCCGTCACGCTGGGAAGGTTTTTCTCATGACCGGCAGTTTTACATTGTTTCATGGGGTTACAGCCAAGGGCAATTCACGAATAAGGCTTGTGGCATCACCATCGCCCTCAATTGCAGCTTCGTTTCCCCGCAAGCCGTGGTGTGGAGATATGATCCGCCGTACAAGCTGGCTGGGCGTTTAGGAGCTTTGCGAATTCGCACTGGCCGGGCTCTCCATGACGCAGACTTGGTTGTCGTCGGAGCATATGCGCCCCAGACCACTGCGCCTGAGGAAGCCTTGTCTGAATTCTGGGATGCCATGCATTCTGTGGTCCAGCAAGCGCCCGCGAGGAGTACGGTTATCTGCGGGCTTGATGCCAACGGCGATCCCACATTCACAGCGGACGCGCACGTTGGGCCGTGCTACCCTGCTGCTGAGCCTTCTGTCAATGGTGAGCGCTTGCGTGAGCTATGTGTCCCGAACGGTCTTGTGGTCCTGGACACGTGGAAATCTCGGATCCGCGGCTTACCTTGCGATGATTGGAACGGCTGCACTTTCTTTGGTGTCAATGGTGAGCGCACCCGTCCGGACCACATACTAGCCAAGAGTGGACAGGACATGTCGCCAGTCACGGTGCTGTATGACTTGGGCTTTGCATTGAAGCCTGGCAATGGCACAGTCATGCTTGACCATGCTCCGCTTGCAGTGGATTTCCCCTACGAAGTCAAACTCAAGCCTGGACAGTCGCCGCAAACGGATACCAGTTGGCATTTTGGCTCGTTGAGGCATGCTCTCGAAGACTGTAGCGTGCGGACGCCTTTTTGCAGGATGTGCAGGAGTGGCGATTGCGCAACTCTGAGCTTTTCTCACTCTGTGCTGCAGACGAGGACCCTTCACGCACATGGAACTTGCTGAATGACGGGATCATGAACATTGCCACACGCCACTTCTCTGTTTGCCGAGGTGCTTCAAAGCCATGGATGTCTGCCGCCACATGGGACCTCATCAGCTACAGAGACCGTCAGCTAAAAGATTGGGCAGCGCATGTTTGCTCGGTGCGTGTGGGGGTCGCCCAGGTGTTCCAGGCCTGGTCGCGTTGCTCTTGGCTCGGTCGCATTAGACGTGCAATACGCCGAGCTTGCGTGGCTGACAAGCGCGCGCACGTCGATTCCCTCGCAAACGACATGAATGCAGCTGCGCAACATGGACATTGGCGTCAAGTCTGGCGAGTGGGTAGAGCAATAGCACGCACAGGCTTAGGTCCGAAGCGGCGAGTTTACCGACCTCCAGATGCTGAGCCAATTTCTGCTGCAGAGTGCATGGGACGCATATATGCGGCAGGCCTTTTTGGCAGAGCCAGTGCCTGAGCGCTTGCTGAAGTTCCGCCACGAGGCACCTCGACATCCTGCGCACGTGGATTTGCCCCCTCTCCGTGACTTCCGCCGCAACGTCCTGGGTGCCGGCAACAACCGTTCAGTTCCTGAAGGTTCTATGCCGTCGGAGGTCTGGAAACTCATTTTTGGATGCTTGCCAGATTTTGCTCGAGATATCCATGAGCAGTTCTTCAGACAGCTTGCACGCACTGGCAGGAATCCCAGCAGGTGGTACGACGTGCCAGTGCTGCCCATTGACAAAGGCAACGGCAAGCCCAAGTGCCAAGGCAAACGTCCCATTGCGCGCCTTGATTCCCTGGCTAAACAAGTGCATAAGACCTTCTACCAGGCATGTGCAACGACCCCTCGACCTGACTGGGCGTTTGGGTGCATCAAGGGGCGACGCCGTGAAGAGGCATTGGCCATAGTTGAGAACAACATGTTTCGATGCCGTCGAAGCAAACGCAACCATGCCATTTTCTTCAGAGATGCTGCCAATGCATTTCCCAGTTTGAGCCATGAGGCCATTGCTCAGCATGTGCGATCTCAAGGTGCGGCGCATGACCTCATCATGGATGCCCATGCCAATTCGCTGTTGGGCTTGCGAGTGCCGGGATGTGGCTTGCGAAAATTGCGCATGGCACGTGGAACAAGGCAGGGTGACACGATCGCCGGCGACATCTTCATGGATGTCTACCACGTTCCGCTCCAGGCGTACAAGACGGCCATTCAGGACGATGACCTGCTCCTCGAGTATGGCAATGACGTGATTGATGCGGCAATGACCACGTATGCTGACGACATTGCTGAGCTCATGGTGGCAGACTCGGCTGAGGAGCTCGATGACAAGGCCGTCGCGCGCACTGCCCTGCTTGAAGCAGAGCTTGGAGGCGTGGGGTGCCAGCTGGAGCCTTCTAAGGAGGAGGTGGTCATGAGATGGATGGGTGCTGGGGCACATGCTAACCGCAAGGCGGCCATGCTTCCCAACAAGGTCACGCCTGGAAAAAAGCTTGGAGTTGCGAGATACTTGGGGGGCTGGGTGCACAACAATGGCAACAAGAACACGGAGATTGATAAGCGCATTTCAGCCATGCGGGTGGGTTTCTGGGCCTATGCTGGCATTTGGCGCTGTAAAAACGTATCGCTTTATGCGAAGCGTTTGTTTTTCAAAGCCATGGTGCAAGGGGCAGGACTTTCCGGACTGGAGCCGTACCTGCTGCCAAAAACAGCTCTGCAACGTTTAGAACGTGCGCGCGACCACCTTGCAAGACGGGCCCTTGGCAGAGCAGGCTGGGGAGCTGTCCGGGGAGATCCCCGCCATGAGTCTGTTCCCAACTCGCTCATTCGGGCACGCATGCGGATTCACACGATTGCCAGCACACTGCGCCAGCGACGACTGCGGTGGCTGCATCACATGGTGCAGCATCCCAACCATCACAAGCTATACTTCGCGTCCATGTTCGGGCGTTTTAGCTGGAAATTTGCCGTCATGAGTTGGATGACTTTGGCAAGCCCGTGCAGCATGCTGTTCCAGCCCTGCGACAGATGTATGATGACCTTGCGGCGGCAGTGCCTCAGTTCCATGCTTTTCAGCCTGGCTGGATGCAACTGCTTCTGGAATGTGACCCGTCATTTTCATGGGTGCTCAAAACTGTGGAGTTGCCGCCGCGGCCCAGTGCTATGACTGACGATGCTCCGCAAGCAGACGCTCGCCAGGATCCGGCGACCCCTCCAGACTTAGGATGGGTAGTAGATGTTCAGGGTGAAGGGGTCCGGTGCGCAATTTGCGCCCGAAGTTTTGACACCCGTCGTGCCCTCAACATGCACGAAGTTGCGAAGCATAAGAAGGTTGTGTGTTCTGAAGTGCAGACCAATCAATGCCCCAAGCGCTCGAAAGTTTTCTATAATATGTCATCTGCCAAGCGTCATTTCCGAGCATCACGTGACCGCCCATGTGCAGTGGATCGAGGCCCAGGAAACTCAGGAACTGCCTTGCTCCAGCCAGCTCGACATGTGGATCGGCAACGGCGCGGGGGACGCGTCCATGCAGCCGACGGAGCAGAGCAAGAGACCCAGAACGGAGGATCCCACGCCGAACCACAAGAAGCTCGTCCGCATGATGGAGAACTTGGACTACCGTCTGCGCCAGCTCGAAGGTGCCACGCCGTGCTTCTTTCTGCCTCTGGAGGGATGCGGACTGGCCCAAGCCATGCAGGCTGCAGCGGCCTACTACGATGGGCGCAGCCCCGGCAAGGGCAAACCGCATCCGGACAAGCATCGCAAGACCACTCTAGCAGGAGCCCTCGTGAAGTTTGCGGCAGAGCGCGAGTTGCAGCGACTTTCTCAGGACGAGCAAGCAGTTCTGGCCCAGACGGACAAGCTTCTTGCAGCAGCGCGCCGGCCGTCCCTCGTGGAGCAGCACGAGATGCTCAAGCTGATGTTGCCCCTCATGGCCACACCGACGGCCATGGAGCCCGAAGTCATCGCTTGCAACTTCTGGAAGGCCAAGAAGGACACCAAGTATGTGCTGACAGTCCAGTTCCAGCCGCACGGGGCCTTGGCTCAGGTGATGCCGTTCATCGAGTTCGTGATCCATGCATCTGGAGGGGCTTCTTCGTCGGGCGCGCCGCCGAAGGGAGCACAAGTGAGGGGTCTGTAAATGCAGCTGCCTTGTAGTTTTTGAGGGGCCTTTCTTGGGCGCAGAGCAGTTGGGTGCTCTGTGTGTCTAGTCGCGCCACTAGGGTCTAGTGCCTTTGTGGCCCGACTAGATCTTGAGCCGGGTCACAGGACCCGCAGATCGCCTCTGTATGAGGCGCCCGCTGTAGCGGAGGTATGTGTGTAGCGTTGTCTCTACGGTGTCACTGCGAGACATGGACAGTTTGGACGCCTCAGAGCCTGTGAGTGAGTGAGTGAGGGTGTGTAGGAGTTCATGCGTGCTTAGCAGAGGACATGTTGGGATCAATGAACGGTGGACCATGGGACGTGGTAAGATCCTGTCTCCACATGCTGCCAAATCCCTAAACCCTGACCCTAAACCCTAAACCCTAAACCCTAAACCCTAAACCCAGCAAGGCAGGGATCCCGCCACCTGGGCTGGAAGAGTCGCGGCCTGAGCGAATTTATTGGAGTAGGGTGTTTGGGCTTTGAGGGGAGGGGGTGGGGTTTAGGGTTTAGGGTTCAGGGTTTAGGGTTTCGGGTTTAGGGTTTAGGGTTTAGGGCTGCAGCCAGACCTCTTAATGTCCGAGTTCTCATGAGTTCTCTAGAGCCGACGAGGAAGCCTCTTTGGGCTTGGCGCGACAAGGTTGACAGATACCTTCTCAGCACACAAGGCCTGGATAACTTCATGGTGCGCTTTGAAAGCCCTGAGCCCTGAAGGACTTGGTTTTTAAGGCCTCGGCCTGAATCAGGCTGCAAAGGGCTTTCATGTCGGCAACCCCGGAAATGTCTCAGCAAACGCAGAGCTTGCTTTTTCAGGAGGGTGGAGGGGTTGATGCCGAGCAGGGTGCAGCGAGGTTATGTCCAACTGCCAAAATCTGTCGAATCAGATTTGTAGCTCATTGCGATGACGAAGTGCTTGTAGATGCTTTTGCTCGGAAGCTAGCCCCCCCCCCCCCCCCCCTAAACCCTAAACCCTAGACCCTAGACCCTAAACCCTAACCCTACGAGCCCTAACCCCTAACTCCTAAACCTAAACCCTAAACCTAAACCCCTAAGCCCAAAACCCCAAATCCCTCTCGGTGTCAACGCTCAATGTCTTTGTTCCGAGGCGGCCGCCCCCGCCTCCGGAGCCCGCAGGAGTTCGTTTCCACAGGGAGGGCCGGATTTAGAGGGGTTGAGGTGCCATAAGCTGAAAGTAACAAGCCAAAACAAAGCCTTTCGTTTCGCAGAGTTTCCGGATGGAAACCAAAGTATTATGGACCTTGCATGACTTGCATGCACCAAGCGTTGAAGCTCACCTCAAATGTTTTACGCCCTAAACCCACACTCGACACCATGCATCCGGGTCCTCCTCGCAGCCTCCCTGCGACGGAACTCGGGAATTTCGCAAAATAGTGCGAGGGGTACCCGTGTTGGGGCCCCTCGTATCAAGGCTGTAGCATTTTGGGCCTCTTTGGGGCCTGAAAACCTTAAACCTCCTGGGTGTTTAAGGTTTCGGGAGTTTGGAGTTTGTTCTCCATGGACCCTCTGTGCCGCCACCGTCCTCGGCCCAGTGCTGTAGGGCCTTAGTCGGAGAGAGGATTACCTGGACCCTCTTACCGGCTGTTTAATATGGTTTTACCTACTGTACTTCTTAGGGCCGTTACTACTAAACTGTAGGTAAATAGAGTTTCATGTAGGGTTAAGGATGGCACCAGAGATCTGCCAAGCCCTTCGATCCTGATCCCACAAGACTTGTAATGAGAGAGTTACCTTTTCGGTTTAGGGTTTATGGTTGAGGGTTGATGATTGAGGGTTTTAGGGTTTAATTAGGGTCGTGTGTTCTTCCTAAGGTCTTCGGACGGTTGCTCTAACTTTGTGCCGGACATGTTTTTCAGCAGCTCCCAAAAGCTGCTTGCAGGCTCTTAAGCAGCCTTGAAGAGCACTATCAGTTTCGAAACATACGGGTACCTTTTTTCAGCTTCACTGGTGCTACGCTGAGCATGTGGCACCTGGGGATCTTGGCAAAATAGCCGCAAGCATGGGCAAAACCCCAAAGCCCTGTGACCCCATAACCCTAATTTCCCTGCAACCAACACACAAACCCTACAAAGCTCAACCCCTCCACCCCGTAGACCCTACCTGGAACCCCATTTACTTACAGTTTCGAGGGTTATCCCTACTAAATAGGGGTTACCTACTATTAACCTTTAGGTAAATAGGTCCCGGGTGCACCCTCAACTACCCCCAAGAGCCTGGGTTTTGGAGCATGATACTTTAATACTTGTTTTGGTTCTGGGTTCCTATTCTAGCTACTTATACTTAAAACGGATATACTGTTAATCCAGGGCCTACTCCAAAGACTAAACCCTAAACCCCTAAACCCCTAAACCCCTAAACCCCTAAACCCCTAAACCCCTAAACCCCTAAACCCCTAAACCCTAAACCCCTAACCCTAAACCCAAACCCTAACCCTAAACCCCTAAACCCTAACCCTAAAAGTTGGGGAGCTGAACCCAAAGACCCAGGGCGGAGCGCCGGCGGTGGATGAGCAGAGCTGACACAGCAGGCCAAGCAGGCCGAGACCCCTCTGGAGTGTAGGGTTTAGGTTTAGGGTTTGGGGTTTGGGGTTTAGGGTTTAGGGTTTAGGGTTTAGGGGCGGTTCTGCTCCTTAGGGGCTGGGTTGTTAGCCTTTTACCTTTTTGGATATGTAGAATCCTAAGTACCAATCAAAGGTGAACTTTTTTTGGCGCTGGGGTATTCAGCCCCTAAGGCTCTAAAGGGACCTCAGGGGCTATTGCGGCTTTTTGCAGTGCCATGGATCTGACAGGATCTGTTTGACGAGGTAAGCCTTCCGGATGTTTGTAGTGTCTGCCCAGCAGTCAGCTACCCTCCGACATTTTGAAGGACCTCAAGCCCGATGAGTTTTTGAAAATCCTTCGGGGCTCTTCGATTTTGTTTATGCATGAGCCGTGTATCTGGAATCCAGGCCTTTGAGCTGTTTAGGTGTTTCTCAGTTTGGGGGGGGGGGGGGTTCGAAGGCAGCAACAACTTCGTGAAGCTTGAAAGCAGAGCTTTTGCGCTTTTGCTGCCTGGAAGCCCAAGCCCTCAAAGGAATTTCGAGGGTTGATGCGTACAGGGGCTTACGGGACTTAGCATCCAGGATTTGGCTTGGGCAGGGTTCCTTCTGCAGCAGTCTGTGTTAAGAAGGGCCTTTGCCTGCTTCTCAGTCATTGAACTGCTTCTCTGTCAGACCCTTCCCAATGTCCCATGTGGAAACCTGCACATTTGCTGGGTAAGCTGCTTAACAAGTTCTCACAACTCGTCAATAACCAGTCGGATGAGAAACTTGACATGTTCACTGTTGTTCTCTCAACTTTGACAGGATTGACCAGGCCCAAGCCCATGTTCCATCTTGGTCTAACACAGGGCCCCATTTCGGTGGAAGGAGTAGGAGCGTAGATTCTTGTTGTGTAGAGGTTACTTTGGGGACCACATGAACCCTAGAGGGCTCATGGTTTACATACCTTAATTGGCATTATGGTAGTTGTGGTACATGACCCCAATTTACGCTTCATTTGGCCCCAAGGGTAGAAGCGGAGAATCTTGAGCTCCTGTATAAACCCTAAACCCTAAACCCTAAACCCTAAACCCCAAACCCTGTGTCTCAGGCCATGGCGGCAGCTGCTGCAACTTGCCTTGCATGCGGTGCATCTCTGTGGTTGAGCAACCCCGAACCCGAAATCCCAAACCCGATGAAACCCCAAATCCCCCTAAACCCTAAACCCTAAACCCTAAACCCTAAACCCTAAACCCTAAACCCTAAACCCTAAACCCTAAACCCTAAGCCCTAAGCCCTAAGCCCTAAGCCCTAAGCCCTAAGCCCTAAACCCTAAACCCTAAACCCTAAACCCTAAACCCTAAACCCTAAACCCTTACCCTAAACCCTAAACCCTAAACCCTAAACCCTAAACCCTAAACCCTAAACCCTAAACCCTAAACCCTAAACCCTAAACCCTAAACCCTAAACCCTAAACCCTAAACCCTAAACCCTAAACCCTAACCTAAACCCTAAACCCTAAACCCTAAACCCTAAACCCTAAACCCTAAACCCTAAACCCTAAACCCTAAACCCTAAACCCTAAACCCTAAACCCTAAACCCTAAACCCTAAACCCTAACCCTAAACCCTAAACCGCAAAAAGGCACTTCCGCCTTGCACCCTTTCTCAGGCGACGAACCTGCGCCAGCGAAAGCAGGTGCGCCTGTTGGCATTTCGCGGGGCTGGTGCAAGCCTCCCCCATAGGGCCCTTGTACCTGCATTAATTTTTAGGGTTTAGGGTTTAGGGTTTAGGGTTTAGGGTTTACAGAACTACCTAAAACTTATATGGGAACCCTCTTAATGAAGGGCCGGCCCAAGTAAATACATGCTGTATAAAATGTGTTGGTATAGTATGTAGGAATCTCTCTCTCGCTCTCTCTCTTTCTCTCTCTCTTCGGCCCGACAAGGTACTCTATAGGTTCATGGACCCTAACCCTAAACCCTGAACCCTAAACCCTACACCCTAAACCCTAAACCCTATAAACCCTATAAACCCTATAAACCCTATAAACCCTAGAAACCCTAAGCCTCTTCCAGGTTCCACTGGTACAAGCCATGCCGGAGGAGCCACCCGCGCAGAGGCCTCGGAGTTCCCAGCGCAGCCATGAGGCCCACAACTGACCCTAAACCTAGTAGGGTCTTAGGGTTTTGGGGTTTAGGGTTTAGGGTTTGGGGCTTAGGGTTTAGAGTTTAGGGTTTAGGGTTTAGGGTTTAAGGTTTAGGGTGGAAGCCCCAGAACCCGATCACAACCCTATCGCCCCAAACCTGAGGCCTCCCGCTGTCCAGCAGTCGCTGCCAAATGCACAGGCCCTGGGTGTGCTCCCACCATGAGGTTATGGATTGCCAGTTTCGGCTTTTGGGGGTTATCATGTCAAAGAACCCTTCAAACCTAACAGGGTTTGGGGTTTAGGGTTTAGAGTT